GCATATAATGGTTTGGTAAAAATGTACCCAAATGTCGGACCGGGTCGGGCCGAGAAAAATGGAAGCTCCCCCTCCCAGGCCTGGCCCCTTCCAGGCCGGGCTCAGGCGGGTGTCAATTTGTCCTTTCTCCCAGGTATAGAACCTTACGTCTTGCTCAGTTCCGAGTCCGGTATCGTTTCAACATGACGGAGATGACGACGGAGATGAGGAGAGCCCGATCATCGTGGCAGCACGAGCAGGCGAATCATCAGAAAAAAAAGCGACTGGGGTCAAATGGGAAAGTGGCCCGTTCCCATCCAGGCAGCAGGAGTTCACCCAAAAACACATAAAACTGCTAATCACCCGAATGCTAATTGTACTATAGACCCTCTTCTGGGAATTTGCGGTGTCCGGTCACTAACGAATTAGATTTATACGTCAGAACTTAGATTTTTTTATACGTCCTTCGGCCCCCGTCCGGTCTAAACTTGTGCGTTGACGTTCAGCCATTTAGATAGGTTCCTTAGGATTCACTTGGTTGGGGGGACCAAATTTTTCCTGCCGGTCACGGTTGACCTAGTAATCAATCTAAGGCTAAAAAGAGTCTTTTCAAAAAAAGGGCTTTTGGTTTTCGCAAAAAGAGACGAATTCTCGTGGCAACAAAAAGCGCTAAATTCCTTTCAAACTCTTAAAATCCCACAAAATGCGGGAACAACAAAAAGTTGCTGGCTATTTAAAATCTTGATAAACTCGTTACCATCCCAGATCACAGGTCAATCCACAGTTTAATTTCAAGAAAGTGTCAATAGAAAATAATACAGAAATTATTTGCAAGCCGAAACCGCTAGAAACTGGATCTGTCCATTTTAATAAGGTGCCAGCAACTTTTGGTTGATCCCACATTTTGTGGCATTTTAAGAGTTTGAAAGGAATTTAGCGCTTTTTGTTGCCACGAGAATTCGTCTCTTTTTGCGAAAACCAAAAGCCCTTTTTTTGAAAAGACTCTTTTTAGCCTTAGAGAGAATTTAGCCCTTTTTGCCTCAATGTTATTGTTAAGATCGTAAAATAAGCCAATGAATACTTATTCAGATGAACTCTTGTACGCAAAACTTCAAAAAAATTTGTCTGCGGCGCTTTGTAGCGGCACTAGAAACCATAAGGATGCACGGGGGCCAATCGGCAAAACGGATGTTGCGTGTGGGGTTCGAACCCGTGGGGCAAGACTTCCCCGTAAAGCGTGCTAACCACTAGGCCAACCGGGAGACTGGAGGCCTGTCTTGGGGAAGCTAGACCCGCCCGCCCTGGCTCCGGACTGGGGCCGCCAAAGGGGAGGGTGGCGCCCCGTCTGGCGAAGGTTTAAAGTTATAATATCTCAGAGAAGAAGCATTCTTTCGATGTAATTTCTTCTTTACTTTATCTGGTATGGTCTAATGCCTATTTGAGCAAAATTTCAGCCCAAACGGACATCACTAACCCTTGTTTTGGCCGCAATTTAGCTTTTAAACTTAAAAATTAAATATAAATTTTTTAAAAGCCTATTTTGAAAAAAACTCTTCTTGCGGTCCGAGATTATCATTTACCCAATAACTGTAAAAAATTTCAGCCCAAACGGATGATGGGAAGGCACTTTTTGACGACTACAAAGGTTTTGCGGACAAACATACAGACATACAAACGCAGACCCCCCCTCGAAACGCAATTTAAATCGGCTGTTAAAATTCGAAATTTCACTTTTTCTTAAATTTTAAAAGCTTATAGTATGTAAAAAGTGTCGCCGGTTCCGATGGTGTATTCAGTTTAGCGATCCGATGCGTGGTTCTTTTTTAAATCCGGAAAAGGACCCCAAAAGAGTCGTATGGGGGTACCTCAAACCAAAAGGGGTTAGCGGGCTACGCCCCTAACCCCGAATATAAAATGTTTTCACATTGTTTTTAGCAATTTTTAACTATATTTCAGTAGAAAAACTTCCCAAAAAGTTAGAAAAATGTTTGCAAAAGCCGAAAATTTGGTCATTTTGGGTCCTTCCCCCCACCCGCAAATCCTAAAAGTTCTATTGGATTAAATTTTGCGCGGTACATCGTTGCCAAAGATCCGAGCCAAAGATCGAAATGATTCTTTAGGCAAATCTGTGATGGTGCAATAATGCACTACAGCTTCATACAATTTATCGCTTGAACCAATATGCCGATCACTTTCTCGCTATCTATCTCTCTCTCGCTCTCTCTCTCGCTATCTTTTTCTCTCTCTATCTCTATCCCTTTCTCCCAACGGCATCCATGAATGCACAATAATTTGCATATCAGTGCTCCGACTCTGATTTTTGAATGGGAGTTTCTACTTATCCGGCTGCTGGCCATCATTTCTATCTAATCCCGGCTCCTTCTCGGCCGACCGCCATGCAGACGCCGGGTACATCGAAGTGTTCGGTAGGTTTTGCCATCTCTCTATTTCGCCCCCATTTTTCTCTCTCTCTCTCTCTCTCTCTCTCTCTCTCTCTCTGTGGCTCTCGCTCTCAGCGAAGCGATCCCGTTCCGTTAAAAGACCATGATTCCAGACCCCGATCCGGCCCGTCCAGCGATTTCCGCTTCGCAAGGCCGCCACCGCGGCCCCCACCCCGCCGCGACCGGTCACCGCCCCGCAGCAGCGTCATGCCGACTCCGGCAGCTCAGGTACCCCAAAATTCTGGACCTGGTAGTGCAAATTTAGCCCCACGCTCTCCGCCGCCCATCCGTCTCCGCCGCCTCCTCCGCCTTCACCCCAAAGGACCCGGCCCCGCTGAGCGTCTCCACCTCGTCGGTCAACAGCGAGGGCTTTCAGCGCTTCCCGTTTCGGCCAAAGGTAATGGATTTTTCGGGTGTTTGAGTACTTTAAAGGGGCCGGGAAGGTGAGAAACGACCCTGGACATCGACCAACGATTGACACATTCAGCGTCGCGAACGCAAATTTTAATTGTCTTGATCCTGAACTGCTTAAAGTCGTCTCCACAGCTGTAAAAATTTGGATCGCCGGGGAAAACCCAAAAATATTTTATACTATTTTTAACGTTTTTCAGTTGACGAACGTCCTGAACCCGGTGACGAGCATGCGGGAATGCCTGCTGAGGCGTATCTCGCCGGTAAGAACTTGACGCCCAACCTTTATGTTCATCTCCAGGAACGCGCGGCCATCTATGACAAGCTGTTCCCTGCCGATCCACGCGGCCTGCTCAACCCCACCCCGGTGAAGAACAACAACACCTCGCCAAAGCCGTCGACCAGCCGCACCAACATCACCCCCGGGGACAACTCGATGGAGTGGGAAACCCCGGGAACAAGCCGCGACCAGACGGACAAGTCCGAGCAGTTCGACTACAACAACAACGACGACAACAGCGACCGGGCCGACGAGTCGATGACTTATTAGGGCGACGAGTCGCGACGGCGACGTCAAGCAGCTCAACCGTCTAGGCTTAATTTTTAGGAGCTTTTCATTGTGTTTTACCCGACTTTTCGTGCTCATTTGTGATTTATGGTGTATCGTTAATGTGGGAAGTAATGTGCGGAATTGTGAATAAAGAACAGATACATGGGTTGCACAGCTTGGAATCGAGTATAAGAATTGTTAGTAAATCGGCTTTGGATGAAGGATAGATAAATCAGAGGATGATAGATGAACTCAATCGGCCTGGTCGATCAGCTCCGTCATCGACGGCAGCTTGTGCGGCTTGTGGAGGCGCCAGATGAAGTGGCGGTCGTCGGGAGGGGTCTGGGTGAGTGGCTCCTCCAACTGAAAGAAAAAAAATGCACGAGAATATAGATTCCCCAAGAATTTCTGCTAGTTGACCTTGCTTAAAAAATTCTACAAGAAAAACTTCCTCAATGACCGCTGCTAGCCTGCCCGATCGAACTAGATAAGCCAGAAAGCGAGACAGAATTTCTCAAGGATCGAAACGCTTTCCCATCTTTCTCACTCTCCCGCTCCCTCCCTCTCTCTCGTTCTCTCTCAATCGCTCTCTTCCCCCATTCTCTCGCTCTCTCTCCCTTTCTCTTTTTCTCCCGCTTTCTCTTTCTCTTTCTCCCCGCCTTCCTTCTCCCTCTCCCTCTTTCTCTCGCTCTCTCGCTCTCTGTCTCTCTCACTCACTCGCTATCTCTCATCTCTCTCTCTCTCTCTCTCTCTCTCTCTCTCTCTCTATCTCTCTCGCCCGTCAGTACCAGAAAGTGCTCCTTTTGTGAATCTACCTCAAATCCGATCTCCTCGGCCACATTCATGACCGCCATCGGGGAAGCGTGCACCTTGAGGACGGGGGAAGGCGAGCTGTCAGGGGAGCTGCAAGGAAAAATTAGTACGAATGAGATGCTAGCTAGATCATCTACCTGGCATGCTTGACGAGCCCGGGGCATTGCTGCAACTTGACGATGATCAACTTTGACGGATCGTGCACCAAGACATCGTAGAACTCCTCCGAGTTCGGGTCCAACTTCGCGGTGATGAAGGCGTGCGGCATTCTGAAAAAAAATCGTCGGGTTAGAATTCATAAAATTTAGTTAAACAGAATAGCTCTTAGAAAAGCTATAAAAGATTCGATTTTCCAAAACTTTTTAGGGAAAATATTTTAAAAACGTGGTATCTCAAGATTGCAAAATTAACACCTAACTATAAGCGCAAAATTCTGAGCTTTTGAACAAGGAAAAATTGCCTTTCCTATCCCTTTAATAAAAATTTAGCACGGCTTAAGCATATTTTAGTCATGAGAAATTGACTATAATGGTTGGCTATTTACCAAAAATAAAATTACGTCAAAAAATGTAATTAGATAATAAGGCGCTAAAAATTGTAGCTAGGATCGAACGGAAGCTTCTTGAATGAATCTTGCCATCGGCCTGAAACCCTGGACTTCAAATCGTCTAGTGGGCGGAGCTTCCAGTTGAAAAAACACGCGAATATGTTGATGGCAGGAAATGGATGGACTCTTTGGACTCGCTCTCTCTCGCTCTCTCTCTATCACCCTATCACTCTCTCACTCCCTCACCCTCTCACTCTCTCACTCTTCACTTATTTTCAATGATGACTCATTGGCCTCGGGGTGAGCGCGAGGCGGAAATGTTGACATGTCCGGGTCAGAATCTGCCCGCTCCCCTCTCTTGGCCTTAATGGATCTGTGTATCGGCGGATGGTATATCGGGGGCTTCTCCTCCTCGAAAATAGCCATAGAAAAACCATCTGGTGTCTGGCGATCGGACGGAATTTGTGGATTCCAAGGGTCACGCGTCTGGAGTGTGACCCCGTGACTCATCATCGGGTAAATCAGGATTCGAAGGAAGGTGCATACGGTGGTTTCCGCGAAAAATCTGAAATCTTCAAGGGATAACGTCAAACCTGGATAAATTTAAAAGATACTGTGAATTTTAGATCAAGAGAGAGAGAGAGTGAGAGAGAGAGAGAGAGAGAGAGAGAGAGCAAGTTTTAGTCGAAGCGTGCAGTAAAAATTAAGATTTTCAAGACTTTGTGGGTATAAGGCTATTCATTAAATGGAAAGTGTCACCTAAAAAAATACTTTAAATTTCGTGTAACAGCAGAAACAGGCTAAAAGGGTAGGCAAGCTTTAGCGATCCTGAATTTTATTGGCTTAAATCAAGAGCTATTCGAATTTCGGCCAAACGCGGGTATTATTCTGCTTTCGCTATCTTTAAGCCTCTGAAAAACGCTTAATTTTTTGGATATTCCCCTCACCCGATTCTCCTATTTTCGATGTGCTTCCGAATTTTGTGTGTTGCGTTTCTTTCATTGTTCTTTGTGAAAGGATCATGATGGCAAATGAAAAGGCGGTTCTTTTTCATTCTTCCTCCCCTTTCCCCCTACAAAACGCTCATTTGCACAGCCGCGCGATTCCGCGCTCGGAATCGCGCTGCCTCCGGCTGCCCAAATACCGTCTGGGCGATGGCAGATCCGCATTTCCTTTTTTTAGGGCGTGCGACCGGCCACTCTGCGTTCCGCCACCGGGCATTTGAACGCAATTTTTTTTTAGAAAATTCGTGATTTAAAGCGTTTTAAATTGTGGTACCGATAGCTAAAACATTTAAATAGAATAAAACTCCGAACTGAAGATTTAAACAACGAAGTAAAAATATTTTATTTTCAACTTTTTCGGCTCTGGCCGCATTTGCAGGAGTACGCCATATACCTGCCCTTTTTGTATTTTCAACGGTGGTTCTAGGTTTTTAATGTTATAAAACGCTACTCTCTACGTTAATATGCTTTGAAATTTAATAATTATCTAAATCATTGTAGTAACTAATTGAAAAGCTCCCTTTTCCAGTTTCAAAATGTCCCCCAAATACGTGAATTTTCACATTATCCCTCGATCAGCTTTCCCAGGGTTTTTGTGTTTGCTATTTCTTGCCCTTTCCTCTCGCCCCCTTTGACCGTAACCGCCAGCCACCACGAGCCCTTTCTCAGGCCCCCCGATTGGTAGGGCTGAATCATCCAGGAAAGGCCAACGAAGGTATTGCCCTAAATAGCTAGATTTTTGCCATTCTAAGCAACCGTTATTTTGTTTTGACTTGAAAAGCGTAGCACTCCTTTCTCTCTCTCTCTCTCTCTCTCTCTCTCTCTCTCTCTCTCTCTCTCGCTCTATCATCTATCCTTATTTTTAGGCTCCCGATCCTATTCAGCCCCAGGCTTATTCTTGCTTTTATTCCACGTACCTTTATCGGCATCTCCATTGAATAAGGTTGTGTTGAGATGGCGAGTAAATGTTTGGCAGTTAGAGTCTCTCTCTCTTTCTCTCTCTCGCTCTTTTTCTCTCGCTCTCGCTTGCTGCCAGCTTCTTTGTGGTCCTTTGGTTGGGAGGGATGCGCACGGTCGGCATACAGATAACAGAGAGTCAAACCGACGGACAGAGACGAATAAACAGAAAGTGAGAAAGATAGAGAGAGAGAGAGAGAGAGAGAGAGAGAGCGAGAGAGAGAGAGAGGAGAGAGAGAGAGAGAGAGAGAGAAAGAGGGAGAGAGACGCGCGGCTTGCTCCAGAATTGAGCAGTCGAACGCCGTACCTTTTTGAAACCCACTGCCGTCTATTGGTGTAATACGGGAGCAGGGAATTTTTAAGGCCAATATTTTAGCATGGCTGTAAATAGAAACACAGTGTAGCCGTTGGAAATGTGTTGGGAAATTGGGAGTTTCGATGCGCAATTTTTGAAATGAACGATTTGAGGTGCGAGAACAGAAATGTCGACTTAAAAAAGAAAAAGTTGATGGAAAAACAGGCCGATCTGAAGCGCTTGTCGGCGTTTCGACGGTAAGTATCTTGAAACACGGTATGTTCACTGTCGGCCATTTTGACTAGCGACCTCGGTGATTGGCGATATTTTGAGCCTCGGATGTTTGGCCTGTCGGCATTATGACATTCTGATTGTCGGCTTGACCAGCGGCTCTTTCATTGTCGGCATTTTGACTGTTGGCACTTTTGCCGTCTGGTTCTGACCGTAAACTGTTTGATTGTCGGTATTTTCCATCTGTCTGTCGGTTTTTCGAATTTTGACATGTAGGCTGTCGGCATTTTGTCTGTCGGCATTTTGACTGTCGGGATTTTGCTGTTCTACAATTGGCCTGTCAACCTTCAATTCTCGACATTTTGGCTGTCGGCATTCTGACTGTCGGAATTTTGCAGATCGGCAAAATGGAATTTCTTGTCGGCAATTCTACGGTCGGCGTCTCTGACCTCCCCAACCCGTATGGTGATCTTTCGGGCAGCACTCGGCTGCTTCGATGGTATATTTCTGTCTGCCGTTTCGACTTATTTACTTTCCTCCACCCTGCGCGAATTTCTCTAATTCTCTCCTCTTCACCCACTCTCTCACCCCCTAGCTGTACCGTCCGCCCGGCAGAGGGGGCACCAAACAGAAGAAGAGCCACAAACAAACTCTTCATTCTCCTTCTTTTTTGAGGCGTTTTTTGGGCGTTTACAGGCCCCTTGCCCTGGGCCTATCTATTTTCCTAGGGCCCAATGAGTGGCCCGGGCCCGGTGGCGGGCGGCGGCCATTAGTAGGGGGCCACCGTTTGATACTCTTCGTACACTTACTTTTACCTACAGTTACTTTTGATGATAGATCTCTGATTTTTTTGCGTGTGGTTGCTTCGTTTGCCGGCTTATTGCTCTCACCATCCTCAAAAATCACTGCTAGTTGCATGAATGTGAGCATGAACTTTTAGGCGGTTTTAAAGTTGGCCCTGCTCTGCCCGATTTTGCAGGGTTTTAGTGTTACCGCCAAGCATCCTGCTAGCTTACCTGCCATTCCTATTCATTTCTATGGATTTTTGCTTTTCTGCAGACAATTTGTGAGTTTCTCAAAAGAGCGCTGCTAGCTTGCCTTCACAAAAATCATTCAGACGTGATCTCTGGCGGCCTTCCCTAAGAGACTGTGGCGTGACCTTGGAAAAAGCGCTTTTCCCCGATTACTGTATCGTACTCGAATTATTACCAACACTTTTGTGTCTGCTTAGTCCCGAAGCGATTTTTGGATAAACTATCGTAGCGCTAGTTTTTTGCGTTGCCAGTCCCTTTAAGCGTAAGAAGCTGATAAATAAAATTGTAACGTAGCGACTTGGAGGTCCACACAAGCCCATTTGGAATTCCCAAGGGATCTCTGCTGGCCTGCTCACCTTGCTCCAGTCGCGCTCTTACTGTTGGTAAAAACAACGATGTGGTAAATTCATAAAGAAACTCTGCTAGCTCCCCGTCCGGTTTTTGGTAAAATTTGGTCGCGGTGCTAGGAAAAATAGCTAAAAAATTAATTCCTTTGCTACAGTAACCCAATTTCACTGCAATTTTTTTGCCTGATTTCTAAAAGAACAAATTTTTGGTAGATCAGTGTCGGCACCCCATCGCGCCATACAAAGATATATCTGCCCCAAAAGCAAAATCCCATTGAGGTCGACCCATACCTCAATTCCGTTCCGTTCCTCTGTACGATTTTTCAATCCCTCCCCGGGGGGTGGCCAACAAGTTCAAAGCGTCCATCGCGTGGGGGCATTTCAATGCTTCTCCTTTTTTCTACTTTTTTTTCGGCGAATCCCGGGCCATTCGGACCACTTGGTTCAGTTCCGCCGGCCGCCAGCTGTGCGTAGTTAAATATTGGACATGGTCCATTCCGTGTGAGCTTATAACTCGGTTTCAAAACGCCCAAATTTGAGCGCCAACGGGAGGACCGCTTTGCATCATGGGCCAAGGGGAGGTCCAGGGCATTATTGTATCCATTTTCTGCCACATGGGAGTTCGTATATAATGGAACTCGGAGTATGAAATAGGAGCTGGTACTGTTGCGAAATGCCCGGAAATTCGTGGTTCGAAGCTGATGCTCAGGATTTAAGCCTATTTTTTTTATCTTGTAAGCCTGTCTCTCTCTCTCTCTCTTGCTCTCTCTTTCCCTCGTTTCTCTATCGCTCTCTCTCTCGCCAGCTCTCTCTCACCCTCTCTCTCCCTCTGTCGTTTTCTGCGGCTTACGGT